CGTATTCGGTAAAGGTCGTCCAGTTACCTCGACCAACGATTTCCAGTCCGTTGAAGACGATTCTCCCACGGAGGAGCCCGAGGCCGAGCACCAGTACAGGATGAATAGCCGTAAAGCGAACGAAAATAAGACACAGGCCGTGCTAGGTGACCTAGCTCGTGTCTTGAGGTCTAAGAACGCCGGTCCATATGAGTTGACTTTCGACGTCATGTTCGAGACCGAGCGCGTATACCGCATGGTCAAAGAAGCAGACCTGCTCAACCAAAGTGTTGTCGCACAGCTTTTCGATCTGCCCGAAAATGATATAATATGGAGCGGATTCTTCGACCAAGCTTTGGCGTTCAAAGCTACGATACCACGGATGAGATATGGCAAATCGGAACCCAGTGGTGGATTTATGGAAAGTGATGTTCATGGGTCGCAAAATTATACTGGTTTGTTAAATTTGCGACTTCCCCAGGCCTTTGTTCAGCGATTGGCTGAATCGCAACTTTAAGAATGCTATATAACTACATGGCGGAAGGTATCGAGCTCTTATCTTGTTGGCGGGACGAGACCAGTGGGAATTCCAGGCGCAATGGGCTTTTCGATCTCCTCGTAATATTATTGTGAAGGCCCAGCACTGGGCGAAGGGAAATTACCCAGATCAAACATACCCCAAAGTGAATCCCCCCAGATGTCATTTGGGAGGTTGAAGTCCAGTGGCAGTGGCGCAAGGTTCTCCATATTCTCCATAGAATTGTATCCTAGATCAAGTGGGTCGTGTACTGCGTGTACTGGTGGTGCCTCGTGGTATGTATGATTATGGATGATCTCTTGTTCATGAATGCATGTACTGGGTAGGATGTCCCGAAAGGCTTCGCCACTCTCACCGCGAAGTTCCGCGCTCAGAGAAACGGCGTCAATCACCAGAGACGCTCCGAGACGGTTGTCAACACGAAGCTTCATGTTTTCGAGATCGACGGGCTGTTGTTTGACCAGGTTCTCGAGAAGGGCGGCTGCCCTTGCTTTCTCATCTCTCACACGTGTGCTGGCGCCTTCCTTCAGGTAGGCATGAACAATGGCAACATGATTGCGAGCCATTTCTTGTTCTTGTGGAGTGGCGCGTTTGTTCAGGGCAAAGTATCGAAGAAGGAAGATGGCGGCGAGGATGAGCCCGCGGAAATAGGTCTTTGGAAGGCTACGCTGTAGCATCGAGGGGTTAATATCGAGAGATTCGCTCGAATTGAAGCACAATCCCTCCTTAGTCAGGTAGACAACTCTCAGAGCGGCCGCAAAACCAAGTCTGAGGAGAACGTCGCGTGAAGATGGATCACCTTGTGGTCGTATCACCGTCATTGTGTAAAGCTGCAGCTTGGCGACAAGAACGGTGAACTCAGCTCGAGGGGTCCAGTCGATAGGAAATCTGGTTTGCAACGCATCCAACTCTCCGTCTATCACCTCTACAAGGGAATGATTTACCCCTCCAGTGGTTTCATCCGCGAGAATGTTGGTAAATTTCGCGAGTGTATGATGCACCATTATTTTATAGAGAAACTCTCGGGAGACGGGACACTCCCGAATAAACTTCTCGATGGCGTTCAGGTCTGGGGTACTGTCAACCAAGGGTGGCAGCCCGATGAGGAGACTGAGCCTGTAAAACGATGAGCCGAGCTGTGGTGGAGTATAATCCAATTTAGTAGACTCACTGCGTGCTGCTCAGAAAGCACCCTAGCCAAGTGAGCGCTCTTGCCCGCATCGACCCAGGTTGTACGCCCAGGCCCCGGAGAGATCGCGCTGGCTTTGCGCTGTGAATGCCCATGTAGAGCGCAGCGTTCATAGCCACTCCGCAATATAGCCAAGTGGGGTCTTCGATTTGCCGTTGTATTGGCAAAGGCCATACCAGCTGGAATAATAATGCTTGTATAGTTCGGAGGGGGATGGGTGCTCTGAAAATGTCGGACTTGAACTTTGAAACGTAGGGTTCTCGCACGCGCTCCCACATCTCGTAGAATGCTGGCCGCATTGGACGCGACAAGACAATCGATATGATGGTCCAAAAAAGAAGCGTTGAGTCGAGATACATGGCATAAATAGAAATTGGGGTTTCGAGAATTGGGAAATGAGGGTAGTAGAAGGTCGAAAATCTGGAGATGGAGATTAGAGTCCCGCTGCCGAGTGTGCCCATGGTGAAAACCTACATGTGGAAAATGTCCAGAACGGCAGCTTTATCGATCAGAGAGTCACCGAGTTCGAAGTAGTCGATATCGAGGCCCGATTCATCGAACAGGGGCCCGGTCATGATACCTGGATCATTCTCAGGCGAAGGAAAGGAATCGTCTCCTATAGAGGATGGCGCCGATTTCAATGCTTTATCATCGCTACTTGCACGATGAGTCTTCAAAGCTTCAAGTTCACGTGCCATTTCTTCGACTCTCCTATTTAGAAGGGTTAGAAAACGATCTAATCGATGCACGAGTTAGAAGCATGGTACCACTGACCTTCGGGCCGGTGTCCTTCGGAACGAGGAGTCCACCTGGCAATGCAAGTGTTTTGCCTGACACCTTGAGCATGGTGCAGGGAATTTAGCTCGCGAATCGCATCGTAGCTGCTTTGCGTGAGCAAACCTCTGTTAATAGTGAAGTGGTCTTACTTTGACCTGTTTGCATTCAGTGCAAGTCTTCACCGGTCGATGGACAGGTCTACTGTGAGGGATGGACGCCATTTTCGTAGTGATGGTGGGGGAGGATTATCGCGCGTGCTCGAGGATTATATCAATCCGACGAGCAATGACGATATCGTAAGACACGACTGCGGTACTGAGCGGTTCACCGCACGATAATGCTGGAGCTGACGCCTGAGAGGAATCCTGCCACGGCGGTCGGGAGGCACAGCAAGGCTGAAGCGGGCTTGGCAAATAAACGGTCGGCCGGGTTTCGCGCCCTCTCCCAATGAGAACTGGCCGCAAGGGGCAACTTACCCGTGTTCCAAGGTATTGGAGAGATCTTTAGACGTCCACAATGGCGGGAGCTTCTACATGACCCCTTTATATTCTGTCAACCAAGATTGAATGTGGAATTGAAATGTTCGTCCGCATTTGCCATCGTTTTAGACCCCACCCGCCTCGACCCCTTCACTGTGCATCGGGCGTAGACCAACATACTGCCAAGCCCTGCGTTGATAGGCCCGGGAACAAGCCGGACATCGTTCCAAGTGGCTGGCAAAAGGGTTCAATAATTTACAAGGTTTGGGAGACGAGGGCATGGGGCGATTGCTTCGCAATCGTAGGAGTCGAGGCATCAATACAAAGGGTGCCAACAGTTCTGTTAGAGTTGATACAACAGCCACGTGGCTGAGCTAGATATAGACAGGCTAATCCTGATTGGAGGACTGCTGGGACTTGATCATGGCCAGCACTGTCCAGATTTGCCGTCGCTCGAAACACAATTAACGAGGCAGTATCTACCCGACCTTGGAAATGACCGAATAGTCCGAGTTGCCCGAAATGCCCCAGCCAAAGTTGTCGCCTCGAATCGTTCTAATTTTATGCACTCGCAGATATTAAGTTCTTGCACCCTGCGCACAGAATCCGACTGTTTCGCACTGGGTCACCTCACAACTCGCCCGGGGCCGTTTGGTCGACCCCTAGAATTAGATGTTGGCTTTTGCATCAACCCAGGACTCCGCCACGCTGGTTTCACATGCGACCCGTGGACCACGGGAACCAACGTCTGCGGATGCAGTGGAACTTGCTGTGTGTTCGCTTCCCACATACGCGATTTGAAAATCTCCGTAAATCCTTCCCTAAGATATCTGTGCACATGGCTCTAGGAACTGCATGCATACAACGGAGTTGACTGGATACCTTAAGACCAAAGAGGGTTACCTTCTGATATGGAGTTAAGAAGGATTGCTTGTACTATGATATGGTCTGCGACATGAGAATATTCGCTACAGAAAGGGCACCACTTCCGTACACCTTTTCGAGGTTGTTCCTATTAGGTAGTCTCCGTCAATGTCTGCAAGGTCTGCCTCGTGCAATTAGTCAGCAACTAACCCCGCTCGTGTACCAACGGCTTCAACTCAACATGGACCGCACTCCATGAATGTGAACTCTTTTATACCTAAACGTATTCCTCAGCACATATATTATTCCAGTGGAGAGGATTTCTCCATTGGACCTTATCGTCAGAAGACGGTGCATCTGACACAATCGAGCCGTTTGCATTTGGCTGGGTCAAGCCCTGTTTCAAGATGATTCGTTCTGTACGCGCTGGGCGGTACAAAAATGGCTAGCTTTTTCTAGCCCACAGTGCAGCACCAAATATTCGCGTATAAGAATCTCCACGCCTCCCCGCCTTCTCGTCCCACAACGACTCCATCCATCATGACTCTGACCAGACGACCTTCCTCTTCTGTCCTTCTCAGAATCCGATATCATTACTGCCAAGCTTTCTCTGGCTGCCGGTGTAGCTCCGCGGAAGACCCCCAGTTCCCCGCGGTAATCTCTGATGAGCCTTACGAACCTCTCTGTGCTTTCTTTCGACATCGAGTCATTGTTGCGTCGTTCTCCTACGGCGGTCATCTCTTAGGGCAGGTAAGTGCTCAACGACTGACGGGATCTCACTTCGCTGCGCCTAGGAATGGCGTATGGCATAGTTCATCTATACGGCTCATGGCAACCCACCACTCGTCAGTGTAGTTTAGTGGTAGAATACGTGTCAATTTGTCCGACACGAGACTCAGGTTCGATCCCTGGCGCTGGCCGTCGCCCAGGGTTGTCAATGAGCCGAAGGATGTAGCTGAGGAGGGCGTGGGAGAAGGCGAGTGTGGGTGCGGAGCAAGAGGGAGGAGATACGGAGACCCAAGTTCTAGACTTTTTACAAAATTCTCGGCCGCCGCGAGGAAGACCGGGTCATACATAAAAAGTATATCATGCCCCGATTCTTCTCGCCATTGACACCCTATTCCCTTCGCGCTGCCACAACCGATTGGAGCATGACATGTCCATCCAGACACTTCACCCACCACGTACTCCTCTCTACTCCTCCGCAGCCTCACACTCTACAACCCCATCCGCATCCTCCTTTTCTCACATACCTAACACCCTAAATCCAGCGTCTTTAACTAGCCTCCTCTACTGCGACCGACTCCTCTCCATGCCACCGTTCAACGTCATCATCGTGAAGTCAAACCTCGTCTGCAACTCCGTCGCCCCCATATCTGGCAACACTAGATCATGAATCAACAACCTCGAGTACCCCGGCGTCATTGCCTCGCGAAGATGCGTGAGAATTTTATGACGGTATACGTCCGACCAGTCGTGTGGGATATGGTGGAGGAAGTAGACTTGGGTGCCTGTGGGGAAAGGAAATATTAGAATTATTCTCCCCCACGTTCACCATTCCATATTCCCAGCCCGAGGCCCAAGGAACCGATTGACTTACCGACGACAGGCTGCCTTTTAAAAAAATCATGTTCCATCCTTCTTACCCTCCCATCCAACTCCTCTCCAATCCCGTCCAACACTGCTCTCTGCTCCTGAAAGACCAATTTCCCCAGTCCCACTTCGACATCCCCTTCAATTTCTCAACAAAGCCCTGCAAATCATGTCCCCGTCCCCCCGCAACATCGACAAACAGCACATCCCCCCTACCCCGATCCTGATCTTCATCCACATCCGCATTTCCCCCTCTTTCGCTTTCCTCTTTTTCTCATACCCCTCAAGCAGCCTGCCTTTAACATCCCACCACTCCCATGAATACTCATGCGAACCCATCGTACTTCCCATGAACAAATTGAAATCCCTAAAGAGACTTGGACGAGTAGTGAGGTAGCTGAAGAAAGGGAGTTTGGTTTGGTGTGCGTATTGCACAAAGCCGTCTGTCGGCGACGTGGGGATTTGATGGGGAGTTTCGCGGAGGTATTTTAGGGAGGAGACGGCGCTGACCACCAAGAGGTCGAAGCTGTGGGGAGAGATTAGTGAAATTGGTGGACTGGATGTACGGAAGTTAGGCGGGAGATGGGTGGAATGTTGTGCGGGTGGGTCAGAAGAGGGTAGGAAGTAGGCGAAAGTGGGAAGGATAGTGCGTACACCAAACCGATGACCGGCAGCAATTAGCTCCGAAGCCATCGCCGTTGTCGTCTCGTTGGCACTCCAGAGATTGTCGCCAGCTTCGAGTACGAAATCGATCGACGCCACGACGCGCAAAATCCTCGCTACCACCCCCAATCGTCAGCACAGTGTCGCCATTCCCACCCTCAATTGAACTTTTCATACCAGCCCTGCTCTACGGATGTCAAATGGTCGGGAAGAGAATGAATTACTTGACAGCTGCTCTTTCTTTTGGGCCGGAGTGCCACGAGGTGCATGAGACATCATACTTACAGATCAGAACCTCTTCACCACCATTTTTCTCAGCCAACTTTGCCGATGAAACAAGACGGTCCCTGGTTCCCTCCTCCACAATCAAACTAAAAATATTCAAATCAACGGCAATTCGCGCTGTGACCGTTATAAAGGGCTAAATCGCAACAGCTTGTTAGCAACTGTTATCTTTGCAATCTGTTGTAGCAATCACCTCCCTACGCCGCGCCCCCCTCCCCCGCTGTGCGGCTACATATATGCTACACACAGTATGCACTACTCACCCAACACACACACCTTAAACACCAACTCTGTCGCCTGATTCAGAGGGCCTTCCAACGCCGCTGGAAGTTTCTTACTCAAGGCAAGTGCGGTGTTGCGCGCTGTAGAATCAGATTCCAGATTCTCTGAGGCTTTCAGAGCGGCGAGTTGGGATATGAGGTCTGACGCTTGTTGGGGAGAAGTTGTTGGGGTTGGCGGAGAGGGGCACGACATGGCATTTTTGAACTCGAATCTAGGACATGGAAGAACTCCAGGTGAAGGGAAGTGTAAGGAGCCTCGTAAATCCGAGGGCCTATTTCTCTTTATGTCTACCAGTCCGCATTATATGTTATGTCAGTATCCTTCCCCCGATGTAAGCTGACTCCGGAGATAATAAGACTTTTGTTTTGTGATATATGCGGGGCGTACGCTTCGTGTCCAGTGCTGGAACTGTAGGGTATGGGAATAACCCTATTGAGAGGTGAACTGGAGTACATTGAGTGCTATCGCGCGAGTGGGGCTAAACCTATACGTCAGCTTGCAGGTTTTGACTTGGTGACAATTACGCCCGACATGGCTGCCAATCGAGAATATGCGAAATCCGACCGAGTGAGACGCTACATCGAGATTGACATGGCACGCGATGCGAGGAACGATGTGGGAGGGAAAACTCAGGTATCTGGAATGCCTTCTGACAACGGCTATTTGCCAATCATTGTTGGATAGATAGGTAATACATACAAGAAGCGAAGATGTTGTAAAAGTTAAACATGAAAAGATACTGGTCAGGTCGATCCCGCCACAGAACGCCATCGTGAATGGAAGGGAATGGAAGACACACTATGCCTTCATAATTCTCTCGCTCCTACTCCCGAAACTCGCTTCTGACATGCAGGTCATCAAACTACCCGCACCTAGTTAATATTCCCCGAGGCCTTAAACGTCGCCCCGGCCGTAGTCCCCACATTCCCAACAACCACGCTCTGTCCATTCACACTCGTAACCTTCACCGTCACACTATCGACACCAAACCCGCTCGGATTCTCAAAGTAATTGTAATCCTTCCTAGTCGTAGCCTTATACGTCTTTCCGCCATCAGTACTGACTTCGAGCTTGGCGACCGGGACATTGGCGTTCTGAACCTGGATCGAGAACCAGTATTTGCTGGTTCCTTCTTTGTTTTTGAGGACGATGGGGGAGGTGATACCGCAGGGGACGACTTGCCAGGAGACGGGGATTATGCCTTTGGAGGGGGAGGCGAGGGTGCTGAAGGCGTCGGGGAAGAGGTCGAGGTGGTTGGTGCCGCAGCCGGGGCATTGGTCGACGACCTGTTGAGGGTGTTAGTATGTGTATTTATCGTGTCATCATTGCAATAATTGAATGTGGCCGTTCGCCTTATCTCAAGGAACAGTGGAAGCAAGTGGTAACGTACCATGGCTGTAATCGTGTTTTTACCACTCGTTACGTTTAAGCAAGCTCCGCAATTCCCTGCTCCAGCCCAGTTTGCGTCTGAGAGTGCAGTTCCGAAGATTCCGGAAGGAATCGTGTAGCCTGTAAAAGAGCACATTCCTCCGGCAACATTACCGCCATAGTACGTAGCTTCGCCACTGTTCTTACCACCAATCGCGTTACCAGAGGCGGTGTTGGGCGAAGTGGATGGCGCGGCGGCTGCGGCCTCGGAACTTGGGGTTGCGGCTGCCGCACTGCTGGATTCGAGGGCCGCAATACTGGTTTCTGCCGGGGCATTCGATGCAGAGGGCGTTGCGAAGACGAAAGAGAATGTCGTCGGGACAGGTTCAGGGGCGAAGGAGGATGTGTTGAAGTGGAGAGTCCCGTTCGGGAAGTAGGGAATGGGAGATGGCGTGACGTAGATGATGGATGTCACAACAACTGTTTCGTCGGTTGCGGAGGTCGATTGTTCAACGGGGGCTGCCGTTGTTGACGGTTGGACTGTAACGGTAGGTGTGTAGGTCACCGTCACCGTGCCAACCGAGTTGCAAGGGAATTCAGCAGCTGCAAGGCCCAGAAACGGCAAGGCGAGGAGAAGTGACTTCATCATGGCGATGTGTAGATTTGTGTTCAACACGAGATTTAAGCAACGGCTGTTTGTTTGGAAAAGAGTGAATGAATTGAATTCGTCAGATGTGCAGGGAACGAATGGAATCGAGTCAACGACTCTAGAAAATTGACAAAAAGAACGGAAAGCAGCTCAACGGCTTGCAAGAAGAGAGGTTGAAGGCGATGAGAACCCAGGCTCGAGAGAATCGAGAAATGGCGCCTATCGTATATAAAGCGACCTACTACTGTGCCACCCACCTCGGTCTCCGTTTCCACGCCAATTCATCATTTCCATGTGGGCGGTGTTTTATCAATGCGGTGGAAATGACCAAGGAACAAGGTGGGGATGTTTCTGTATCACAGTCCGGGATGCTAGCTTTTGTTTGGAGACGAAGAGCACGTTTGTGCAAGTTCCCGCACGCGTTTGTGGAAAACGAACGCCACAAGGGCTGGCCGAGGTTAGCTGACACGGAAGCCTTGCGTTGGTGGTGCGGAATGAGATGATTTCTGTGATGATGGGGTGAAGTTTGAAGGGAGATCAAACGCTGGCGAGATGAACGAGCCGGGACAGGGACAGGGATGGGATGGGATCAAGCCACGAAGGCCAAGCCTCGCGGAAGATAGTTCGGCCGGTCCACAAGGCACGTCCTATAGCCGACGTGGCACTGCTTCAACAACACCCACACTCGCTCCTCTCAACGACAAACACCAACGCTGCTGTGCGAGGGCCCCAAGATAGAACATGGGCAGTAGACGAGAGTCGACCTGTAAGTTTCATCTAACGAAGGTTGTCCTACGTCGCTTACCATTCTCCTGAATCGAGACGCTTTCCCAGCGTGCCAGCTTACCCCTCATCACTATCGATGGCAGCCCCGCGCCTTGCACTGGACCGTGTCTGGAGCGTCAAGTCTGTGTAACTGACAGACTGCCATTCGTGAGCCGGAACACTCCCTTGGTTGATGATGCACGTAAGACTTCCATCCCCTGGACTTGCTGATGAATTATCCTAGTGTAGACCTGCTCAATAGGATGTCTTCTCGCAATCCTTCCCTCTCTCTCTTCGCGTCGTAGACAGTACACGCCATCATGCACATAACCCGTCGGTGTGTTCCAGTGGCAAGATACCGGTCCTTTAAACCGGAGACCCCAGTTCGATTCTGCGGCGCCGGCCATACTGTGCATGGTGCTGTATGTGTACTGTCTACCCAGCCCCCATCCCGTCATCAGAGCGTTTCTCGTCGGTGTGGTCTAGTGGCAACATACCGGTCCGTAAACCGGAGACCCCAGTTCGATTCTGCGGCGCCGGCCAGTTACTGCTTTGATGATGGGATCACGAGAAGGGAAGAGTATGCATGTTTGGTTTGCTGTTCTAGTCACACCCCACTTTTCCAATCCAGCACCACCAATACAAAAAGCCTTTTCCCGTCGGTGTGGTCTAGTGG